TGTGTTTTCAACCGCACTAAGACTGACGTCTTTTCATTGGTCAGCCGGTTAGCGCGGTCGATGCTAATAATAAAAAAAAAAACACACACACACACACACACATATCCTCTCTCTATCTCGACACCTTTCTTGTGCCTTGCCCATGATGCTGTCGCCCCTCCACTCCCTATGGCCCAGACCGGGATGTGGCTGCACCACTGCGTTGGGATCATCGGAGCCGAGCACGAGCCTCGACGAACGTTCGAAAACGAGATGACCCAGGAGGAGGTTGAGAAGGAGACGGGCTTGATCCTACGCTTGCACTTTCAGAAAGTGGACAAGCCGCAAATCTTCAAGGCGCTTCAGACCCCTACGAAGAGGCTGGGAGCGAAAGGGAAGGAGATGGTGAGTGAGTAGGGTAAGGCGCAGACGTAGCACGTTGCACTCGTGGGTTCCATGACAGACAAGAAGGATGGAGAACTCGGCTTTCATGTTGGATACCCTCGGAGGTATCCTCTTTTGGTTGGTCGTGTGTTCACCCTCGAACTGGTGGTGTTGCATCTGTACATTTTGCAGCTCTGGACTTAAATCGTGTTCCCTCGGCCCGACGCTGTACATTTTTGCCGTAGGTGAGAACCGTCATCAGTGGCGCTGAGAGGGAAAGCGCCGCAGATGTCGAAGACGCACGGCAGTTCTTGGGCAAGTTCCAGAAGGAGGATGTGTGGGTGAGATTCCAACTGGACGAGGACAGGCGCGTGGCGCGCATTGCTTGGGCGCTCGACGAGCAACAGGGCAACGCGCTGCGGTACTCCAGCATCATCATCCAGGACAACACCTTCAACACGAACGAGTGAGTGTTTTTTTTTCTTTTGCCTGTTCTGCTGTGGAGATCGCAGCGTTTTCTGCTGTTCTTTCGGTTTCCTGGTCGAAACGTACGGCTCGCTCGCCTGTTGCGAACAACCTCCTGACTCCATGTTCGATTTGTGCTCAATGTTTTGGTCGCACCCCTACCAGATACAAGTACCACTTGGCACTAATCGTCGTCGTCGACAACGAGAACTACACCCAGATCGCGATGCAGGCCCTACTTGCGAACGAGCGGACTGAGGACTTCAAGTTTCTCTTCCGGGTTTTCAGGGAACTGTGCGAGGGGGTGCAGCCAGAGGTATGCCCGCCTCCCATTTGCAGAGTACAAGAGTTCCCGTAGAGCGTTCTCTTGGGACACGTCGGCTATTTACCCTTTGAAACTCTTTTGCCCCAAAGGGTATTTCGTTCGTGAAGATGGTGTACGATGAGTTTCGCTGAGTGCATCTTCCTGACGTCCTTGCCCTTTCCCTCAACGCGCGTCGGCCACTCTGTGCGAAGTAGGTGATCTTCACTGACGCTGACCAGGCAGCAATGACGGCAATCGATGAAGAGTGCCCGGCATCGCACCAGAAGCTGTGCCTGTTCCACATGGATGAGAACCTCATGAAGCACGGCAGAGGCCTTGAGCAGGGCGTCCTGGCGGGGGTGGAGGGGATGTTCCACGCAGCAGCGTACGCTAAACGGAGGAGGTGGGTGGTCGTCTTGGGGAGTTAAAGTTCTGGTTCAAATTGTGGTGTGGATCAAGCGCCTCTTAGACAGAGTTTGGGGCAAAGGCTGCAGTATCCACGGGGCGTGTACGGATGGTCCGTGCCGACGGTGCATGGTTCAAACTGGTACGATCTTTCTTTCCTCGCAGTTTTTCAGATCAAAACTTGAACCTGCAGTCTCCTCCTCCGTCCCGTCATGTCCCCCCGCGGCCTCGCCTGCTCCGCTCCTTTCTCGGCTTGGCAGATGTTCCTGAAGCACAAAGCGAATCTATTCAAGCAGCTTAAGCCGGACAGTCACATGTACAACAAATACATGGCTGACTTCGTTTTCGAACCAAGGCAAGCAGTGTCTGGCACAGCAGCACTCCAGACAGTGATGCCCAAGGTACCTCGACCGGGGAAAGCTTGGTCGGTTGCGGTTGCCTCGCCCCCCTCCGTGGGTGCCTTCCTTGTCGCACTTTTTTTTCGCTCAGCTTTTGTGTTTTTTACCCCCTCTACGCCTCGCGCCACCGGGGAATCTACGTGCCTCATTATTCTGTGGTCGTTTGGGTTGTCAATGGCTTCGTTGATTTTTTTTGTCGTTCAGCGTTGCACCGTGGCTTCCGGCCTGCCGCACGCAACAGGCGGGTACACCGGTGGGCTTCGTTTGTGCACCCTGGACTCCACACTGTCAACACTGCCTACACGCAGCGAGTGGAATCGACCAACGGCGCCTTGAAGACGGCGATGCACAGATCGAGGAGTATAGTTGACGTGCATGACACCATCGTCGGCAAGGTTCAAGATGACGCCAACAAAAGCACAAGGTGGGCATTATGTTGGAATCGTCGGTTGTTGTTAAGGCAACATCTTGTGTGCTGTGTGAAATGTCGTGGCCAACTGCTCATAAATGGAAAGGTTGTGGGCTGCCTGGCCACATAATGCTTTTTTCACCAGCTGACAACCAACGTGCGTTTCCACCACCGTCTGTCGAGAACGACGAAACATACCTCGAAAACCACGGGAAGCCCAAGTCATATTTACTCCTTCGACTGGCAGGTGAAATTACGGCGTCGAGTCAAATTTGCATATCCACTGCTTCATTGTATTGCCTCTGCAAAGTGTGTGTTGCTTTCCCATCATCAACTCATTCCATCTTGTATTCGCCCTCTTGCTGCTGGTCGGTGCGCTTTGAAGGCAAACCACTGGGGGGGCGGTCCAACGCGTGCGTCCACCGACAGCCTCGCCCTTGGAGACTGTGACGAACAGCTGGCTTGAAGGTTTCGACTACGTCCGGCGGGCTATGCGCCACGTGGAATGCAGCGCCTACGCTATGAAGGTCAGTTTTTGAAGTCGTACGTCTTCTGGGTGCAGAACTTTTGGAATATTGCCCCTTTCCCCCCTCCCCCTTGCACCCTTAGTCCCTCCTTCCCCGCCCACCCGTACCCTGTCATACCTTACTATTGCAATGCCTACCGTAGAGCGCGGCAACAGTGATATCTGCATGCGTTGCACAGCACCAACGAAGACGTGTGTTTATCCATGCGTTTCCCCCCTCCCTCGTATACCGTCTTCGCGTTGTCGTCCCGTACAACCTTGCAGGACATGTCCACCGAGGCCTTGGCGGCAATGGCCTACGACGTCGAGATTCTGGGGACGGGCAATGACGATGTCCATCGCGAGATTGCCAGGATGGTGTCGGACCCTGCTATCGCGGGGCTGTCGTACGACCCCACCTCCGGTGGAGGCGACGGCACGTGGACCACGAGGACATCCGTCAAGTTCTTCGCGGAGTTGCTCGAGGACCAGGTTCTGGACAAACTCGTGCGCATCACCAGGAGCTTCTCGGATGGGGGACCCAACTACGGCCATCTCGTCGCCCTTGGACCCGATGGCTTCGTCCTCTGCACGTGTCTGAGGCTCCTTGTCTACGGTCTTGGCTGTCGGCATGGTCTCCGGGCCGTGCGCGATACGGATTTCGGACTCAACGGAGGGTGTATTGCGTCTCGCTGGCGTGACAGCACTCAGCCGTGGACGATGGAACACCTCACCGCTAAACGTGCGGCACCAGCAAATACAGCTGCGGGCGTTCCCGGAGATATGCCGCCCGCTCCTATGGATCCCGGCGTTTTCTCCCACTCGAAGCCCACCGCGAGAGCAAGCAATTGGGCCAGCTGCGTCGCCTTCGGGAAGGAGCTCGCATCTCTCATGACAGACGTGGACGCCATCGCCCCCTGCCAACGCGTCCTCAACAACCTCAC